ATACATATATCATCAAAAAAATCATAATATAGACATCAAGACCATTAAGATACACGTGAAATACATAAATATGTGCGATCATGCAACGTCGTGTTGGGTTGGCGAGTGGCGCGACTCGCGAGTGCCAAGGTTAGTTCCAGCAGCGTTGCCATATTGCCGGATGGTCGGTAGTGTCGGCAAAATTGTAGGCTAAATCGTAATGTTGTGTGGGGACTATGGACTTAGTTGTATGCCTATTTGACTGACTTGATCTATTTAATTCTTATGTTAAACATGATTATGGTATCTAAGCTTTTAAGAATCGAAACCTCGAATAACCTTTACAATTAATTGATACCAATAATGTAAAAATCCCGAAAATTGTTCTAGACTTATGTTGCTTTTGCAGGAAGTAGGGTTAGGTGTATATACATACCTTAAACAAAATTATAATTGTAGTCATATATTTTTATTGCTTATTACTGAAAATCAGGTGTTGTGCGTGTTTGATTTCTATACTATCTATTTGGACAGCTTTTTGAAGAATTAGCATATATACCCGCTAGTGACAAAATTATTATTATTATTCAGTTACTGGATCAGTACAATGTACACCATCACTTTTTATGCAATTTCTCGTTCTTGTTTCGTATCCCCCCAGCAGTAGTCAATTTAGTAGATGTAGTTGTTTTCCACACTACATTGTGGCTTATCTGAAAGTTTAATGAGTATGGCAACTATGCAAACTAAGTTTTGCAGCAACCTGAAAGTTTATTCATAAAAATATACTTACATTCACATTTTCGAGAACATTATAAAACTTCAGCACAAGCGATACAGCCCTCACAATTCCAAGTTGTAGAAAATGTCATGTTCATTTCTTAGAAATTTGTATGTCCTTCGTACACATATATGTTAGTGTCGAGATCTAACTTCTTTTTGATTTTTCTGTGAGATGCTATACATAAAAACTGACTTATACAAGGAAACAACCTTGTATGAGCATCCGGCTCGCAAAATTTGTAAATTTTTCAAGAAAATGGAAACGATGCCTATAAGACCAACAACCAAGAAAATGTAAAGAAGGAATGAAAATGCTTAAAAGATAAAGGTTCGCATTATAAGAAATGCTTATAGGGACTATATAATATTTCTACAACGTACGTGTATCACAGTTATGTACTCATATGATGTGTTGTTCTGGCGTGTTGAAATGGTATTAAAAATAATTGTATTCTCTCAATTAAATTTCGAGTTTTATTCAGTATTTCAGAAAGGCTAACAGGTACTCTTAAACCGACCTACTTCTAACAATCTTACATGTGTAAAAAGATAATGATCTACATTGTGTGGTTGGGTGAATAATTTTGTCACTGCCACTGTGCTGTTCTTTATTCTGTATCAAATATAAGTCATTTGTAAAAAGGTACGTTACGTATTAGCTCCAAAAAGCTTCCCTGTGTAAGGGCTTCTTGTTGACTTCAGTGATGAGTATCTGCTTTCTTGTCATCTCTGAACAATCTCGTTGCTAATATAGGAGTTCAACTCGCACATTCCAGGCCGCGGCTCGCACTGTGATCAAAATTAAATTGTAAAGTCAGACCAGCAAAAATTATTTCAGTATACAAAACCGGTCAAAATTATTTTTTGGAAGTACAAAATAATTCGAATAATCAAATCAATAATGATTAAGCTATTTCAAATGATTTACTTCTTTTCCCCTTAAACATGTATGGTATCTGGGTAGCCAGACCTGACAGACTAACAGACCGACGAGACTTTTAACTAAGAGCAAAGGTCCACCGGACCTCTCTGACAAATAGCAGTAGGAGTTCAACATTAATTAAGTTATAATGAATTGATATGACATCCACGTTTTCAAAAGTCGGTTTTGCATGGGGAAATATTGTATACCCATTTTCCTTCTACTGTAGTCTTTCTGACAATAAGGATTGAATGAGTATTTCAATAAAATTCTTTTTCAAATGCTATGAGAGCATTGGTAGAGCATTTTACCAAGAAACTTGCAAAATGTCAAAATACATATAATCCCCCATGTTTGCTTGTCCAACGAAACCACCATTGAAATTCAATGGTTTACCTACCATTGATATTTTAAAACCTAACTAATGGACCGTGAGTTTTTATTTAGGTTTCTTCTCATAGTTTGTTGTGCCATCTTAAAATTTGTAATGATGCAATCTCGGCTTGTTACGGACCCTATTGTTGTAACACACTGTATAGGAATCTGGAAATGCAAAGAAAAAATAAAAGAAGCGTCACCTGGAAGATACTAGATACTGAAGAAGGACCGTCGTGACACAAAAGTCTACTACTACATTAAAGAAGAACTTCAAATGAATGTGGCTTCAATGGCCAGACAAACATCGGGGATTATCGACATGAAAACCACAGGATAAGTTTCACATGTTACGTTAAAATATCTGACAAATTGACTGTAAACACATCAACCGAAGTGAATAGCGCAATAGGTTTATTTAATTGAAGAACAGCGGGGCGAGCAGTAGCGGGTACCTGATAAATAATTATCAATAGAAATAAATCTTCTTTGGGGTCCCTGGAAAGACGTTCTCGGGCCCCCTCGGTTCCCGGAGTCAGACGCGCGATGCGTCATCTCAGATCCGCCTCTAGAAATGACTAACGTAAGAACTTTGTATTCGATTATTTTCGCAAGCCAGTGAGTATTTTGAGTCTTCTCTAACACCAATAAACATTTTTCACAGCAGCCACCGCTCGATTTTGAGGAAGCTGAGAACCAGCGCGGGCTGAAAGCTTTACGATCGATGTTGACAGCTTTAGGAGCGGAGGCACCGCTGTCGAGATTTCGCTCGGTTTTTATAGTTTTGCACGTTAAATATACATGAGCGATATGTCTAACCAGGCCGAGTCTTTCCGTTCATAAATGTTTTAACGCGGGATAAAGTGCGCACAGAACGCATGGAACCGTGCGGTTTGAGAGAAATCTGTTCTGCGCGGGCCGCGCTACCGCCGTGCAGCAGGTAGGCTATTAAGAGAGATAAATGGGCGGGTTTACGAGTTCAGAAGTACGTGCGAAGCGGTCGTTACACAATAATAGTCGGGAAATTTGTTGAAGGAAGTGGCTATGAACGTCTTGTTCGTCTTTATTATCACTTTCCCGTGTTACCATGATTTTTATGAACATGTTAGATCCCTCAAAAAATCTCAACCTTTGACATTACTTCTCAGAGCAAAAAAACGACGTCACGAAGGCTGACTCTAAACTCTACTCTTCCCACGCAACGACGTCCTCGATTCGTAAAGAATTTGAGACACGAGTGGATAAGCAAAATCATTGTATGGAGAAAATTGACTTTAAACAATTTTTATTTGGACTTTTTTATTTTATTGAAATTTGAAAAATTTAGTTTAATTAGTTTGTTATTGTCTTGTTTTTGCAACAAAGTAATCACAGAATGAAAGAACCACCAGAGAAGCAATTTTTAAAAAAAATTTACATGACACCTTTATCCACCTTTATAACGGTTAGCTATGAACATGTATAACAGAAAAACTGGGTTGATTGAATAGACCAAAACAATTAATTCATAGCCCCAGCCAGTTGATAACGCTGCCATCCAGAAATTTCTCCCCTGTCGTACCGACAGTAACGACCATCTGACGACGATGCTATGAATACCCTCACAAACCAGCCAGCAGTCACACAAATACACGTATGGGGGAATCTGTAAGGCGGAAATAGGTCTAAAAGGTGCGTAGAATTACCGGTGGTGGACGCGTATACCTATAATAAGTTCCTTAATATAGCAGTTCCAGTGCCCTGGTATTTAGGTTACAGCATACGCGACTGCTTTAAAAAATTATTTTTTTTACAAAGACAGCAGGAAAAGCCAATATGCTCAATTTGACAACGGCTTCGGCGGTCCTCCCGAAAAGACAATCCTGCTTATAGCTTCTTTTCTGTAACCCAAAAACTCTGTTTGCATGAGTTGCTCCACCCCATGCTATAATTAAATAGCTCATTACATAATGAAAGGGTCCATGTATGCTGATATTAACATCATAAGATATGAACCTTTGAAGTCGATGGAGCAGAAAAACTGTTCCCCGCAGCCTCTTACAAACATCTTCCACATGAGGCAACCACTGTAGGCGATCATCTAGGTTCATTCCTAAGAATTTGATAGACTGCTGATCCCTATTACTCAGGCCTCTGAGCCCAAAAACCGTTTTTTGGGTTTTGTCAACATTTAGCACACGCCTGTTAGCCTGGAACTATTGCTCAGCCCTCATCTGTGCATCCAACAGACCCTGCTCCAAATCAAGCATTCGAGTGTCATGTATGGAAATTGTAGTAGATATCATCAGCAAAGAGTGTATAAATGACATTGTTGTCACATGCCGGCAAGTCAGCGATGTAAATCAAGAAAATTAAGGGGCCAAGGACTGAGTCCTGAGGCACCCCTAATTTCAACTCTCTCTCTGATGACACGAAATCTCTAAGTTGCACTTTCTGGTGTCGGTTTTCAATGTACGATCTGAATACCTGTATGCTGGAGTTGGAAAATTTGTATGCCTCCAGCTTTTGAAGCAAGATAGTATGTGATTCACAATCGAAGGCTTTACTTAAGTCCACAAATAATGATGCGATATACCGTCGATCTTCGAGCTTCCATCATATGTGAGAGCAGGTCCAGAATCGCAAGAATAGTGGCCTCAGACTAAAAATATAAATAGACTTACCATTCTTACGGCACTGTAATGCATGAAGACAAACAAACCCAATTCAAAACAAATACAAACAATAAGCTGTGTATGTGCAGACCACAGCTGATTCCACCAGTGGCGTAGGTGCTTTTTTGTAATGGTGTTCTGGTTAATACACCCAGTATCACCTTCCATGGCAGTGAAAAGAATAAACACAGAGAAGTAAACAAGGTTTTATTATTGGAACTTAATTATCAGGTTTATTGTTTCATAATACCTAGTACAAAGGTATATAAACAAGAGAGAGAGTATTATGTAAATAATAAGAATTGAGTAGACAATTTCCTGTCCAGAGTATGAATACAAAAAAAATAGTAAGAAAATGATAGTAACCATGATCAAAAGTTGTATATAAAAAAATATATAAACAAACAGAAAAAGAATAAATAATTGACGCATCAATTTAAATATTCTGTCTTAATATTGAAGGCACAAAAAAACTATTAATTCCTTAAGAAAGATCTTAGCTTAAATAGTTCCCTAAAGTATTTAAAAAGTTTGTATCATAAATTCAACTCATTCGTTTTATTTAGGCAAGCAAAGACACAGATTTGGTTCAAACGATCTGACAGAATATGCTCTCTCAATGGATTGTATAATGGACATTCCAAGAGGAGATGGCCTAAAGATTCAGTCTTTCGAGTATTGCATATTGTACAATAGTCTGTTAACCCTGTATGAAATATTGTTTAGGAAGATTTTGAGACTACATTTATTGTGGAGCTTAAGTTGGATTATAAATCGTTTTATACATAACGGTATACTTGGGGATTTAGCGTACTCTGTAGACTCTGATAGCCATTTTAGCCATTTAGCGACGCAGTTCTGCACTATATTTTTCTTTTTTTCGGCCTCTTTGAATTTTGTTGAAAATGTCTTCTGCAATGGAGCCCTGAGAAATGAGGATTTTTAACAACAATCAAAAAATAAACATGTAATCACTTACATCAAGCATGTGTTGAGCATTCTCCGATATCATATTTATTCGCTTCAAATGGTTTGTCAATGCTTGAAGAGACCAAATTTTGTTTGCTTGTCTTCTTGTTTTGGCTCGTAAACAGTCAATTGTCTTTCTTTGTTTCTTATACGTGTTTGGAATGACTTTCCAGCAAATTGGCCTTTTAAGTGGGTTTTCCAAATCAGTATAACGTATATCGCCGAAGTATCGAATAGGTTTTGTTTTCATTCTGAAACATTCAAAGCTTAAATGCTACTATAAAGCAAACGCCAAATCTACATAAACGTCACCTTTTATCAAATCTTTACTTCAGGTTTAATTACCACCAGACTATACTTGAAGAATCAAAATAAAAGTTTAATACCTTTTCCGTGGAGGTTCACCATCACTATCATTTTCTTTGAGGTTATCTTCCTCATTGTCAGCTTTTGCTTCTATGAATGTGTTTAAAATCCTGAAATAATGAAAATACAATGCACTAAAATAAAGACTGATATTAGCTGGCTGAACTTGAAAATAAAAGTAGATAGGTACGTACATCATATCTAATTCTGAGGCATGGGTACGGGACTGTGGTGTCACTGGGATACTTCCAGTACGTGATTGTGAAGCACTTAATGTAGCGGATTCAGATAATGACTGGGTGCCTGACAGCAAAGCTGATAGGGTGATACTATCTGTTGTTCGATCATGTTCAGGAAAACTGTATTCACATACCATTTCTGTTGCTACTTCTGGTGACTTTATTTGTTCTCTGTAAACACTTCAATAGTCAAACTTCTAGATACTTTGGAGATTATTTAATTTCATACCTAGGTAGATCCCTGCTTTCCAGTTGTTCGCTATTTGAATGGCTTAGGGCAATTTCCTGGGCAAGATTGATTTCATTCTCCTCATCACTGGAATCACTTTAAAATAGATAAGTAAAAGTATAGCAACAAAATATTCCATTTCATCCAATAGCTAAATATAATTAAGGACTTACTCTGTTTGCCTCAAAGGCTCTACTGATGGAACTGCTGAATGCTTTAGTTGAGTTCTTTTGCCGTCTATTAAATCACTTTTGTGAAAATGATTTGCGCAAATAAAGGCATGAAGTGGTAAATCATTTATCTCAATATTGAGGATAGTGCACCATTATTCTTGTTTTTTCTTATCACTAGGAAACCTGAAAGATCAAAAACGTGTCTAACAGAAGAGTATTTTTTGAAAATCACCACACATAAAGTGTAAAAACAACCAATAACTATAAAATGTCTATTTCTTAATACTAAAAATCACAACGCATCCCCATGCGCTACGCCCTTGTCCTCCCCTAACCTCTAACTCACCTGTCGAAGGTTGCCTCAGTTTTTTCATTACTAACTCCACAAAGAATGCACTTCCGACGTCCCATTGTCTTTGAAAATTGTCTATCAATGATAACAATGCTATAATTGCCGCTAAAACAACCTGAAAACAATTTTGAATACTCGCAACAAATTCACTGTGCACAACAACAAACACCAGATGTTTGTAAATTCTGTGTACGCATCCACCACTTGCCGTTGAACACCGTTGCCACGTTCGGCAAAAAGTCGGTAGAAATGTGCTACTTTCGAATGAGAGCAAGTTTCGTCCAAGGTGGAACAAATCCAGTCAAACAACTGACTGGGCAAAATATTATATGAACACCCAACATGAACCTGCATCCGTTTTGAATTGAATTTACGGCGTGTCGGCCACCACTGTGACCGTTTTTGCGAGTATAAACAAATATGAAAAGAAAAAATAAATTTTTAAAATTTAAAATGACGTTGACAACTGCCTAGGAGCAGTTGTTTGATCGACCCACGATCAACCGGAGCGTCCACACCTTATTTAAGTCCACCTTCATTTCGGGCGGAGTGCACACCAATATCTCATTCCATTTTCAATAGATTTTTCAGTATGGAGAAGTGGCAGCGTCGCATATATTTGTTTACCGTAAATACAGTTATGTTGACGACGATATTTTGTAGGGAATTATTTGTCTATTTATATTTTTAGTCTGAGATAGTGGCCTTGTTTTTCCGAAAGCCAAACTGACGCTCAGAGACGAGGTAATGTTCTTCGAAGTATTCAGCAATCATTACCGCCATGCATTTTTTAAAAGATTTTCGATAGGATTGGCAGTAGAGACACTGGACGGTAGTTGGAAATATCTCCCTCATCCCCTTTCTTGAAAATGGGAATCACTATTGCGATTTTTAAAACGTCTGAAAATATATTTTCTGGATAGCACAGATTTATCAGCTTAGTCAAAGGATGTATTATTATGTTCTTTAAAGATTGCTTCATTAGTATAACAAGACTCCAACAAATTAAGATGTATCTACCCCCTATAATAATCACCAACCCCCCATTTTTGACCTGTACCAAAATTATTCTGAAAATGAAACGTCAAAAAAAAAAACACGAAGTTTGTGGGATTTTTAGTTTTTCGTATTTTGCGCGTAGGTCCGCTGTCAGTTGATCGAATTTCAAAAACTATACTCATTTCTTCCTGAGCCAAAATTTCATCTAAATCCGAGCGGTGCTTCCCAAGTTATGGGAAGACCAAGGAGTAGCGAATAGACCGTCAGACAGACACATAGACTGATGGAAATACTGACATGGTTTTCAAGTAATATCAAACAACATAACATTCCGTTTTCCAATTTTTTCGTGATTACAATACTTCCTCGCTCAACCTTTGATTGTCGCGCAGTCTTTGTCTTCTAACTGTCTACCCACCAATACTTGGCTGCTTCAAAACGACGTATCTAATAGTATCAGTCGGGTAGTGATATAATTTTGACACCACAATGCTTTTGTTGCAAAGTCCGAAAGCTTTATGATTATAGATCTCTGATTTCTCTCACTGGTTTAGTCACTACAATGCTATCACTTTATTTTTTTAAGAGTTTGATCGGCCCCTGTAAGTTTTATAAATGTTAGAAAATATGTAAACGCAAATAAAAAGTGTCGTTTAAATGCTTATGAGACTCAGACTGTATTGCATTTTCTTCAGTAGCTTTTTATTACGCACTCTGATATACTGAACAGTTATTGTCATTGCATTGAATAAACGGATATCAGCAAGATCTTTTTACTCCATTAAGCTTACGGGTTTCTGCAAATTATTGATTAACAAATTTATAGTGTCTTTTAATGAGAAACCTGTGAATGAATTCAAGGAAAATCCATTTCTTAACGGTGCTTTTACTCGATCTAAGTTTCTGCATATAAAACTGATAATTAGACGAAAAACTTTACGACTTCCTTAAGACAAATTTTGATTATGACATGTCACCTGGATTTAATTGTTTATTGTATTTATGCGTCCTGCAGAACAACAGGTTGATGTCAAGTGCAAGGAAGCGTGGAAGGTGCACAATAATTTTCAAACTGTGACGTAATAAAGCAACTAGTATTTGTATAACTGCATCTGAAACTGTCGAAACGTACTGTCGTTTTCAATTTTTGCTTTTTACTTATACCATCGAGATGGCCGAAACAATAGATGTAAACAGTCTATCCAGTGTTGCCAGGTTGCATGTCTTCGGTAGAGCTGTTAGAAATTTTCCGGTAAGTTACGAAATTTTTTGCTAGATGAACTACCAAAAAGCAAAAAAAAGTGATTTACGTAAATCACGTGTTACTTACAGAAAGCTATATTAAAACAAAAATACAAAAGAAAAATATACATATAGCCTATAATGCGTCTATACTATAAAATTCACAATATACGAGTACTTATATGAATGAATGCTCATTTGTCACGTTGGAAACCAATTTTATTATTAATTTATTAGTTAACAAGAAAATTGTGACACTTTTTACCAGGAGTAGCAATATGCCTTTCTGTATGAAGCAGCTGAGATAGTATCAGCATTTGGTCTGTTCCTTACACTAGTTTTTATAAGGTTAACTTGTAAATGTGACCTTTCAATGTGCCTTCAACAGTTCACTCAGATGCGAATAACCACTTGCATTTCTGGAAGGATGTAGAATAAATGTTTTGCATGAAAAATTGGTAGTTAGATAGAACACGACTAAAATTGGTAGTTATAGGGAAAAATCGGTAGACCTGGAACGCTGAGTCAATCCCACAGATGTACTTTCATTTATCGACCAGAAAAACATGGAGATCCGTCGAAATGTTTAGAGTCACTGATTCGATAATGGGAGAACAATTAAGTGCATGAAGTTATATTTAGATGCGTCATTGCTAGGTGGCAGGAATGTACCTGAATCCAATATCACACCTTTTAACGTTACTGTTCGAAAATTAAAATTCTTGTCTTTACAGAACACACCAGTGTATTCCATCAAAGTTGCTAATCATTTCATGCATTACGTATAATTATTAAAACCGGCAATTAAGTTGAAACTAAAACTGATGATTTGTGGTGGTGAGTTCAATGACATATTTTTGGTTTGAAAAAATCACAAGAGCTTTTAAATGCCGTTTAAATGGAAATGTAACAAAGCTGTTCTTATTTGATCAGTTTTGTTGAACAGCCGTCTGGAGATTCGAGGATGTTATGGTGAAGGTAGGTGAGCGTTTTTTAGGTTCAGATTAACTTAAACCATAGTTTTTGAAGAAAGGCATATTAGCAATACTCGATATAAAATTGTGAGGCACATTACGTTATTTATTAAGAAAAACGACTTTAATATTAGCCACAATTTTTTTTCTCAAATGCAACATATTGCTGACTATCGCTTAAAATTCATTAAACAGGTCACTGAAGCCATGCGACTCTAGGCTTCTACTAGAGGTTTCATAGATGCCACCACCTGGAGTAATCCGTTAAAGTTAAAATTATTTTTTTGAGGAACATAATATGGCAATATCACTTAGCATGGTCGCAATCCGATTCGTACCAGAAATGTTATATAGTATTACTCTGGTTGTTGGAAAAAATAAATTAAAAAATGGCGGAGTGCTCGAAAAAAGGTTTTTTATCACTCTTTTTCTGAAACTTCGCACACACCAATAGGCTTACGGTACTGGCGGGATAGAACTTTAAGTTGGCATTACTTTTGAAGATGGCGACCGATTTGACAGCTGTCAAGTGATTTATTCTCAGTTTGGTTTGGCAATTCATCATGAATAGACTCACGCCTGAACAACGGTTGCTTTGTGCAGTTTTATTTCGAAAATAATGGACGTCCATTTTATCGTCGACCAAATCGTCCATCAGAGCAGTTGATTCGATTAACCATGGAACGTTTTCGCACCACGTTTACTCTAATTGATAACTCGCATCCCCAGAGACGCCGTACGGTGCGTACAGAAGAAGCTATTGCTACTGTAGAGCGTAGCAAGACCCGAATGAGTCCATCCGCCATCGAGCACAGGAATTAGATATGTGTCCATCCACTTTATGGAAGATTTTGCGGAAGGATCTTGGTTTGCGTGCTTACAAAATCCAACTCGTGCAAGAATTGAAACCAAACGATTATCAAGCAAGGCGTAGATTCGTTGAATGGGCCCAAAACGTTGTTCCCTATTTTCATAACCGAATTTTGTTTAGCGATGAAGCGCACTTCTGGTTGAATGCCTACGTCAACAAACAAAACTGCCGCATTTGGAGTGAAGCTAATCCTCAAGTCTATGTCGAAACACCGTTACATCCAGCAAAACTGACTGTTTGGTGCGCTTTATGGGCTGGTGGAATCATTGGTCCGTACTTCTTCAAAAACGATGATGGCCCGAAAGTTACAGTCAATGGTGATCGGTATAGAGCCATGATTACTAATTCTTTCATTCTTGAATTGAACAATCATGATGTCCAGGAGCTGTGGTTCCAACAAGACGGCGCAACATGTCACACAGCTCGTGCTACAATCGATTTATTGAAAGACACGTTTGGTGACCGCCTAATTCCACGTTTTGGACCTGTGAATCGGCCTCCAAGATCTTGTGATTTAACACCGCTAGACTATTTTCTGTGGGGCTATGTAAAGTCATTGGTAAGCCCAAACGCTTGACCATTTGGAAGACACCATTCGCCATGTTATTGCCGATATACGGCCACAAATATTGGAAAAGTCATCGAAAAATTGGACGTCCAGATTGGACTACATCCGAGCCAGCCGTGGCAGTCATATGCCAGAAATCATATTTAAAATCTAATGCCACAAGATTGTCTTTCTAATAGAAAAAAATCATGTCAATCGAATAATCCATCGTTGTTTTATTGTAATTTCTATACAAGTTCTATACCTCTAAAAAACACCCTTTACAAATAAAACTAAAGATCCTTAATCGACAAAAATATTAGTATACGAATATTCCACCCTTTAAAAACAATTGACAGCATACAAGATCTTCGAAAACAGCAATTCAATCTCTAAGGATTATGCGGGGATGGTTCGATAATACACACTTATCTGTCACCCATGCTAATAGCACGTATATTGTGTTTAGGCTACAGTACAAAAATGCTGACAGTCAATAAACTTTCAATAAGGTGATAACTACACATGCAAACAATACATCCAATAAATACTTGCACAAATTAAACAAAGCTCCTATGTTTATAAACAATCAGAAAATGTTCGGTATTTTTGCACCGAATGTTGAATCATAGCGTTGTAATTATAGAACATCAACCTGTGATAACTTGGACTCAACAATAACGTCGTTGGTTATGTCTAATTACGCCACCACGGCTGCTGAATTCTGCTATAAATCAGTATGGCAAA